GTTATCCGCTCAGCACGGCGCGGGCCCGGGGCCAGGAACCTCATCCCGCCGTCTCTGCCGCGGCTGTCACGGGCAGGTCGGATGTCCTGCCTCCGGCTGGCAGGTGCTTGAGTGCACCCTCGGAAATCCTTTAGAAAAGTGAGTGTATTTAATGTTTTCGGCTCACGCCCCATCCCTGGCTCTTAACTTGCTTTCAGAGGGTGCCGCTCTGTGTCTAAACCTAAACAACATACACTGCTGGTAGCTCTGGTGCTTTAATTTCTCAGTGCTGGCTGTTTTGTGGCGGTTTAGGTTGGGGGTTTTTTGTGTAGAGGCTACAGTTATAACTAAATAGTACTTGGATTATTTTTTACAAATTTTCAAGGGCTGTATTCTAATTCTCCATATACTGTTATACTTGTATCTCCCATTTTTTCCTTCTGAAATAATAAAAATGTTTTTACACACTTAGGCCGTGCTGTAGTGTAGGCTATGCTGTATGTATTTCTTTCTCCGGTTGTTCTCAGTTTGCTAATAAAAACATTCAATGACTCACTGCCCCACGCTCTCTCAGGGCTATCCCTCCAAGCCAAGCTCTTCAGTTCTGTTTCCCCACCATTGAAATACCTGCAGCCAAAGGGAAGGCGGCTGTAACTGGATTGACGCTTAGCTCAAGCTTTCTCTCACCCATCTACTTCTCTTCCTGTAAAGGGGAAAAAGCTTATTGAATACTTTATTTGTGCATTTCCCAATTAAGCTGGAGTCCCCCACCACACCCCTTTTGTGGGATAGCTCAAAGCAGCTCCTCCTCCCCAGGTTACCCCAAGAAACAGCCCTTTGTTACCAGTACTGAGCACGACACTGCTGGATGCCAGACAGCAGCACAGCCTAAGCTTTCCCAGCCTTGTCAGCCCCGAGGGGAGAACGGGGCACCTGGGACTTGCTGGGGTGGCATGCACAGTAGGCAGGGCAGGGCAGACAAGTCCTCTTCGTTCCAGGCCTGTCAAGTGTCAGTTTTAGAATGAGTTGGTACAGGGTGTATCAGTGACAGGGGGAGGCTCAGTCTGGTTGCACGCTCTCCCTTGTATCCCATAGCAGCACAAGGGCGACTGCACTGCTTCCCCTGTGCCCCAAGAAGGTGGCTGTTTTTGTAACTGCAAAACCAAATGCAACAATCAAGTGCTCACCGGCAGTTTATAGGGCAGCTTTATTCCTCCTGCTAGGTCCTTTCTAAGCACATCTAACAGAGGGCTCTGTGACAGTTAGGGACAGCAGCACTAGAACACCCATGGCTACACGGTGCGAATGCTCTTTCCCCAATATAAACATATGGAAGCTGTTAAAAGCTATTCTGTCCCAAGTGTGTTACACACAGTGGATTCATACCACTCCTTCCACAGACAAGGGAGGTGGGACCAAGACTCTTCCCAATTTCTCTCCTCGTTTGCTGCAGGTGCAAAGCCTGTAGCTGCAAGACATGTCCCCTGGTTTTATGCAGCTCTAAACTTGCCTTACCTATAGACCACAGTTAACCTTAGGGACTGGCGCACTGCTGCTGTGGTTTATTTTTCAGAAGCCTGTCCTCAGGCTTCTGAATGCTGTAAGACACTTCATAGGCAATTAGTGCTCATTAGACAACTGTTACAGTAAGATATCTTACTATAAGCAGGCAAGTTCTAGGGAAAGCCACACACACACCCCAAAAAAAAAAATCAATCTAGGTAAGTAACATTACTCTTAAAACATCTAACTCGACTCCAAATATTTTTATGATTAACTGTAGACTATGGCTACAAACCAGTCAGCTAATACAGTGTATTAGTTCCCTTAACTGTTAAATGGGGGGACTTGCCATCCTACTACAAGCTGCAAATAACTTTGTTTCCTTCTACCTCTGAAACTTACTTCTAGAAATGAGGACAGAACCACTCACCCGCAAGTCACATTCAAAACATTTCCCTATCCTCCCCTCTTTTGGGAGCTTTTTGCATGGCCTTATTCAGCAGACCTCCTAGCTGCATCTAAACTCGCACTCCGAACTCTCCAGAACAGGAACTGTATCTTGACTGCAAAGTGGACTACCACGAGCGAGCTACTTTCCCATGGTCAATATAAAAAGCATTTCCCATGTGTACAATTAGTGCAGACTGAGGCTTTGCATGGCCTGCTCAGGTAGCTGTTAGCAGCAGCAGATGTCCTCCAGCTGGGGGCTTGACTGATGTCCTCCTCCTGTTCAAGAGACCGGAGGGTATCAAATACAACATTACTACTTTGCCTTTCCTAGGTTTCATTAGAAGCTGAAGGTAAGCTACCAGAATCCGACCAGGGATGGCACGTTTAAAACATACCCCACACTCAATTCACAAATATCCTTAGAAAAGGCATTCACTGCCCACCTCCAGCCACTGAATTACCCGTGTTCTTGATGACAAATTCAGCTTTCATATCTTTAAGCCCTTGAAATGAGGCAGTCGAAAGGGAACTCTGCATACTATCTTTAAATGAGAGACTTTTATTTTACAGAAGTTATCTTTGAGCATTTCTTTGCAAGATACCTGTACCGTAACCTAGGAGATAGGAATTAAGATTGACTTAAGGATTGACTTAAAGAGTCTAGTTGAGCAATTCTCTCTTAGCACCTCCATTGCTTTGTGCTAATCTTCACAGGAGGGGGAAAATTACCCTGGAAAATTAAGATACCTTTATAAAATTAAAATACCTTTATACCATTGTCTGAATTCATCTGCTAGCCACATAATAGACTCCAGAGTTCAGTTTAAGCAAGCCAGTGCACAGAAAGACCAAAGAACAAGGGGAGAAAAGCGCACAGTGAAAAGTCAGTTTAATGAAATCTTGCATGACAAATTATGGCAATTATCATAATTGGAATTCCTAAAACTAGAGAAGATTACGGGGAAACATGGTAAATTTTCAAATATGTAACATGTTTCTAGAAAGGAAATAAACCATTTTCTACACTCACTGGGAGAACAAGAGGCCAGTCAAACTGCAGAATGGGACGCATTAGGAAGAGTCATTTAATGGCAGTAATACCTAAGCAATGGAATTGATCTCTCAGTGACTGGGAACAGGGGAGAGAGTCATTAATTACAAAGGTGGAGGTTTTTTTATTCCTGCAGGCTTCTAAGAGTTTGGACAGCCGCCTAGCCTGGTTTCCATGGAGGAATGCTGAGGACTGGTTTATTTAGATCTTTCCCTGCCCTGTCTTCTCTGAAGTAGTGCATCATGCACTGGGAACTGGACTACAGAAAGATGTTGTAACTACGCATTTTCTTACCTTGATGTATTTCCTGTGGGTGTAATCTGATTTTTAATTTTATGGATAGCAGATTTACTACTTTTTAGTAACACCACCATTCTTGCAACATTTTCCCCATCAGATGTGCTCAACCTTATTACACTCTTCAGTATCTTTTTCTCCTGGAAAATTTGAAAGGCTGTGCCCACATCAGTCAGCAGCCAGAACAAGATACACAGTAATTGCTAACAACATCCTATGTTAACAACAGAGCTAAGAGCAAAAGATGCAGCAGGAGGGTGATGCAAGGGGAAGATTGTTTTAAGAAGGCAAACCTGGTCATCATCAACCTCCCTTCTAACAGCCATTGCCCAGCACAGGAAATACAACACAGGGCTTGGGGTGTTTTGTTTGCTTGTCTTCTGATAAAAGCTTTAATGTCTTTCCCACATACATTTTGATATGACAGTCTTACATAAATCTTTCAAAACACATGGGCGTTATCTGGTTTTACCTGTCACTAGTTTACTAAGGCTTAAAGCAGAGAGTGAAATAAGTTTTGCTTTGGCCTAACTACATCTTGCTGGGCAGGGCCTGAACTCAGTTTATGGCCAATTCTTAGTGGTTCACACTAATATTTTCTTCTTCACTATAAATACATATGCAAAGCTTCCAGCTGAAATAAAATTTGTATCAGTAAATAGTTGCCAGATTTTTTTAGAATGCTGTAGGTGATTGTGTACCACCACTAAACCCCATCAAAGCAAGCATGCTTATTCCATTTTTCTGAATCTTCATGCACCATCAATCTAATTTTAGGTAAAGCACCTCAAAGTGAGACTCTGCATAGACCCCGTGGAGTTTGGGACCAGGAAATAACACCTGTTTCTCCACACGTAGGCCCTGCTGACTGAGACACCTTGTAATTTTCTTTATGCTGACAACAAGCAGCTTTATGCTGGCAAGGTTGTTTGAAGAGTAGTTACATCTGAGTATCTCAGCATAAAAGGATCCAAGATCCAAAATGCAGACCACTTATTTGAAAATACAGAAGTTCCCCAGACCTTGTGATGCAGAAACAATTGTGCAGGTGGGTATTAAGAAACATGCTATGCTTCTGTTAGTGAGCTGCATGAGGAGGGGTGCATCAATAGGTTTGTGCATGGTTAAACACACCCATAACCCTAAGGAGAAAAAAAAACAAAATGCAAAAAGGCATGAGCAGACAATCCAGAGAAATCACAAAAGCAGTGGCACAGCTAATCATTAGCCCTTTTCGCTCCCCCAAAAAAGTAATCCAAGATGTTTCTTCAACAGGCTATCAGGAAAAGCAAAGCAAACCCCCGCCCCAACAGCTTGTCTCCAACAACGGTTAACAACAGACAACAGGTAAACATGTTCTTGACTCCCAGTGAAGAAAAGTGTTTCATTAAAATAGAGGCAATAAGGCCTGTTTTGCTATTTGAATAATTTCAAAGTTGCTTTTGTGCTACAACCTGGGTTTTCATTTTCAATTCATGCTACACTAAATGCTTCTTCCCCTTTTTCTTTTAAATGGTGCATTTTAGATCTCCTTAACCTACAGGAGAAAGAGCAAGCAAATGAGAAATTATCTATCAGTAAACTATTTATAAAGGAATAGTTCAGGGAATTTATAGGGAAAGTGTCCTGGTCACTGTTCTCAGTGACTACCAATTCCAACTTTGCTGGACAAGAATATACTATATGTTTTAATAACAAAATAAAACTCAACTTTCACACAAAAGGCCCAAATGATTAGAAAACATCCAAAGCAAAAAGTGAGTTATGGTTACAGTAGGAGTACTTCAGAATTACACACAGGAAAACACATTCTTGCTTTTATTTTGGTGGAACAGGATACAATATCCTTCAGCCCAAACTATTCAAAGCTGGCAATATCACCTTTTTCTTCATGCTGCAAGACTTCAGGAAACAGAACAGGGACAGGAAGGGTTAGAAGTTAATTTTCTATTTAAGGCCGTTAATTCAGCAAGGTATTTAAAAATGTACTCAACTTTAAGCGTGAATAGTTGCATTGACTTCAGTAAGATTATTCACATGTAGTTAAGTCAGGCAAGTGCTTAAATGACTTGTTGAATCAAGCCATTAAATGAGAGCTGCTTTATTATACAGATTTATTTTAATGGCTGACAGAGCTCATTATATGAGCCTATTTTATTCTTCCAAGGGCTAACAGCTGTTTCCTCATCAACTTTTCTGAAGGTGTAACCTGTATGCCTCCTACACTTTACTGTAGCCACAGAAACATATAATTTTCTAAGAAAAACTGTATGCAACATCTATTATATATAGTGGCTTAGCTCTCCCTTAAATAGTAACAGAAAAGAACAGTACAAAACAATAGTTCCACTTTTTCAACACACAAGAGCATCTTATTGAAAAACTAAAATAAAAAAGTATCACCACAATATAAATCCCCAAATAATAATAATGAAATGGGAAGAAAGAAAAGGAGTTAGCAAAACGTCCTGTGGACTTTAAAGTCTTATTACCGCATTAAAAAAGCTTTTCTGATGAATCACAATGTTTTGTTTCTCTCTGTTTACAAACCCACTAGACAGGGAACAGTGTCCACAACCTATGTTGGGATTAAAAGGTAAAAACATAATCTGCCCCATCTGCAGTCCAAAAAGAGAATGAACCCAAAAGGGCAGTCAGTGAGCGTAGGAACTGGTGAGGACACGGTTTCCCTGCAGGTGGCAGAAACTCATAAGGGGGAGCAGGGGTTATGAAAGCAGAATTCGAGTTGGAACCGTGTCGCAAAGTTCTATCTCGGAGGCCTGCAAGACATGAACTACTGAAGAAACAGTCAAAAGGTCCCAATGAAAAGCTGTGACAAGCTGTAATGTGCCATTTCAATTACAAGGAAGAGGGGAAATGTTTGGTTTTTTTTTTTTGCTCATCAATATGATGAGCTTTCACGTCCCAAACCACATTCAGGTAGTTTCCAAGTCTGCTTTTTTTGTGTGGAATCTACTGATCCAGACCAAAAAACCAAACAAACAGAACAGGGATGCACAGTTCTTAAGTCCTGGAGCCTTCAACACTGCCTGAAATAATAGCTGGCCTGGGGTATCCAGAGATGCCTGCAAGATGGTGTTCATAGCAGCCTTGCAAGCAGATCGGCTCACATCTGCTATGTGCTGCCAACGTTCTGCCCATCACCTTCATCATTAGGACCTGAAACAAACAAAGTAGTTCTCTGTCATAAAAAATATCTTTTGTTTTTTGCCTTACAATAAGAGACCCTACCTGAGAAGCCTACAGAAGTCTCAGATTTAAGATTTCAATGACAGATGAGAACTGTAGAGTTCCCCTCCCCCTGCCTTACATCTTCCTTCTCCAGATTAAGTTCTGTCCACTGCAGAATTTTATGTTCTTGACTAATCCGGTTTGGGGATCCCAGTAGCGTCCCAGAGCCTAAAAGCTCAGTTTCCAACCTCTCCAACCCACCCCACTGCTTTTGTTCATATCCATTCCTTCTTTTTTCCCCTGCAGTGAATCAGGATGGGGGACTGGTCTCTGTCAACGGTTGGATGTTCTAAGCCCTACGGCAAAGGAGTGGAAAGCAAAGCACAGATGACTCCCAAGTCAGGAGTACAGCAGGAAGCCTTCCTCAGACTGAAGACTAGTGCTTTTCTTAAATTATGGTCTCCTCATGTACAATAAAATTAATTACACTCTT